CAGCAGTGCGCCACCAGGCCGGCCCTTTTCCTTACTTTTTAATGAGGTATCTTTTTCTGAATGATTTGTAGGAATTCCTTATATAATTTGGATATAAGTCCTTTCTTAGTTATATGTATTGTTAATATCATCTCCTAGTCTGTGGAGAATACTTTCTCCCAGTCTTTCTTAATGGTGTCATTTGAAGAAATCGTAATTTTAATGAAGTCCAGTTTTTAATTTTTTTCTTTTATGGTTAGTGGTTTGTGTTGAAACTTTTGTCTACTCCAAGGCCATAAAGATACTACTCTAGGTTTTCAGTTAGATTTTACTCTTCACATTTATGTCTAATTTATCTCAATTCTTGTTTATGTTGTGAGGTGTAAGGGTCAAGGGTCATTTTTTTTTCCTATACAGCTATCCAGCTCACTCAGAACCATTTCTTGAAAAGATAATTTCTCCTGCCTAGTATTTTTAATATCTCTTGGAACTCATCACTTCCTTTTAATTTTTACAGCTTGTTGGGCTTTTATTATTTCATACGTAGTTGATGACATTAGAAGTTTAGATTACTGTTAGCTGACCTTCATGTCCGTTCTCCCATTTTCAGTCCATTATACACACAGCTGCTGGAATAATGTTTTTCTAATGTTATTTGTAATTTTTGGTTTTTGTTCAGGAAATAAGTGATTCTACATTTTCTATCATATCAAACATTAACTCTTCAGACTAGTTTTCAAAGTTCTGTTTCCCTCATCTTTCCCAAAATCTTACTAATCCCAATATCTTCCCTTGCCAATATAATTTTTTTGTCAACCCTAAAGTCAAATTGTTTATTTCTGTGCTTTTGCACAAACCATTCCTTCTTCTTTGGAGGTCTGTCTTTGCTAGTTCCTCAGAAGCTTTTAGAATCAGCACTCCCTGGTTTTGTTTTGCTTTTCTTTTTCTTTTTTTTTTTTTAATTTATAAATATTTTTATTTTATTTTTAATTAATTAATTAATTAATTTTATTTTATTATTTTAACTTCTCAATATACATTTTAGTTGATTTTCATGACCCTTTACCCCTTCCTCTTTTCCTTCCCTCTCCCCTCGCCCCCCACATCATATCTGTTCACTTGTCTTAACAAGTTCAAGGAATTGTTGTGATTGTTGTGTCTTCTTCCCCTCTACCACCCTTTATTTGTTTCTGTGTTTATTTACTTATTTATTTTTAGCTCCCATAAATAAATGAGAACATGTGGTATTTCTCTTTCTGTGCCTGACTTGTTTCAACTTAATATAATTTTCTCTAAGTCCATCCATGTTGTTGCAAATGGTAATATTTCATTCTTTTTATAGCAGAGTAGAATTCCATTGTGTAGATACACCCCATTTCCTTATCCATTCATCTGATGATGAACATTTGGGCAGGTTCCCACTCTTAGCTATTGTAAATAGTGCTGCAATAAACATTGGAGTACAAGTATCCCTTCGGTATGATGATTTCCATTCCTCTGGGTATATTCCCAGCAATGGTATATCCTGTCAGTATGCAGACACCCACAATACTTGTTTTTGCTATTACAGTAAACTTACTTTTCAGTTGTTTTGCAAATGCTGGGGTTTTTTTTGTTAGAGGGTAAGCTGTTTGAGGGCAGGAACTGTATATTTCCTCTTACTGTTTCTACAGAGAACCATAGAATTCTCCTTACAGTGCTTCCTCATAGAATAGATGCTCAATTAAAATTGAGTGACTGATGAGATTACCTAATATAGGTTTATTTTCATTTTAGCAACTGTATTTTGATAAAAACTAGAATTGCTATCATCTCTTCATGAACATCAGCCAATGGTTATATAATAAGAGGATTTTCTCCTCCTGTATTTTATAGTTATATATCTGACATTCACTTGCCTTGTTATGTTCTAGGTGAAACTGACTTTCTCTTTTGTCTTTGCGTGTATGTGACTGCAGCACTGATGCGGGTGACAGCCCTGTTGGCACCACCACTGCAGCCAACCTGGAACAGCCTCAGGTTATCCCCTCTCAGGGTGACCTTCTGGGGGATCTTTTAAACCTTGACCTTGGTCCACCAGTCAATGTGCCACAGGTATCCTCCATGCAGATGGGAGCAGTGGATCTCTTGGGAGGAGGACTGGATAGTCTGGTAAGCATCTTTCTTCTCCCTTTATTTTGGCTATTTTTAGTTCTTGATATGCTAGAGAACTTTAAATTATTCAGCTTTTTAGAACTAGACCTTTCCTCGATGAGCAGTAATGTCCTTAGATAAAGGACAGGATTATTTGTCTTTAGAGAGTTAATTATAATACTGTTCATCATCAGTAATGGGGTATGTCTGCAAGCGTACAGGAGTATTTTGTTGACCTGTCTGTAAGTAGAACTTTTGATATTTAACCAACCTATTGTTCAGCAATCTGAATGTTTATTTAGTATTCTTTCCAGAGTTTATTATTGCTCTTGCTTCTTAACTCTGGATAGCCCCTGAAAATTCTTTTGACCTGAACAGCATTAAAGTGGCCTTGCACAGAACTTCATCCTATTTCGAGGCTTTCAAACCTTTGACTTTTTTTTTTTTTTTTG